ATAAGCGGGTTGGGGTGGTGCAGGGTAAGGTTGGCCAAAAGACTGGCGGACCTGGACTGGGGTGAATGCGGTAGCTGGTGAGAGAAATGTTAGCGATGAGCCAAAACTCTGTTGCGGCCGAATAAACTTACTTTGAAATGAAGACGCAAAGCCAGCCGCCGCCTGTGTGCCCGGTGGCGGCGGAACTGGAGGCCACGAAGGTACCATGTTGTGTGCGTACATTCGGCTGCGATGAACAAAGTCGGAGAAAGAGGGGGTCAGAAAACGAAAATACAAGGGTTCGTCTTTGTTCCTGATGTGCAGCGAAATCGTGAAGACAGCGCCGATGCTGTTTGTCGCGGACGTTGATGGGAATGCGGAAGATGGCGGTGAAGTTGGTGGAAGAAAGATGGCCGAACAAAACGGGTGGGTGCGCCCGAATATTGGGAGGTGCGAATCAGCTGGTCAGGCGCGGCCCAACCTCGGATAAGTGAATATTCCTGTACCCGCAGCCGACCTCGAGATGAATGGTTCAGCCCCGCACCGACAGGGCGAGCGCAAGCCAAGCCCCTCAGCAGCAGCTCCAGCGACGTCAACGGTGCTGGCAAATGCGCTCGCTGCATTCCCGAACATCACGGCCGGGACAGCCTTCCCCCAAGCATGACGGATGTTTCTCAAGCAAATCGACTTGACCACCGCTCTGCGGCCTTCGTACCTGCCAGATGAGGACCTGCTCTTTGTTCAGGACAATGTGGGGTTATACGAGGGGTAAGTCGCGTGCTATTCTGACCTCTGACTCTGACCCGCGCGGGGCTTGACGAGTGAATGAGAGAAAGTTGACCAGTTTCTGTGCATCAGAAAGTACAAACTACCCAACCAACAGAATGGCCAGGTCTATCTGACCTCGCATCGCGTGTGCTATGTGGACAAGGCCGAGCCTCGAAAGCACTCGGTTGCCCTCGATCTCAAGGATGTGGAGCGCTACGAGTTCTACGTGAGTGTTACGCTTCCTCGGGTCGTGACATGTGCTTACTCGGCTCCCTAGGCCGGCTTCCTCAAGTCATCAGCCAAAATAACGCTGATCCCCAAGGCCACAAAACGGTCTTCTCTGCAACCTCGATCGCCAGGACTTGCGTCAGGAAATGGGAGCTCCTCATCCGTGACGCGGACTGACAGCCCCATCAGGGCGCCACCCGTTGAGCCACCCCCGGCAAGCACAGCAACGTGGGTTTGCACCATCTGCAGCTTCTCCAACCCGGTGCCATCCAACTTCGACCCTTCGACAGCCAGCGCCCACACACCGTTGCCTCCATGTTTGGCTTGTGGTATCAAACCTACATTGGCTCAGATTCTCAAGGCTGCTATTTCCAACGCTACTAGCAGGCAACCCGGACCGACTCTCTACACGCCGCTGCCAGTCAGGCCAAGGCCTGTGTCCGAGTTCAGTGCCGCCCAAGTCAGCGCCCCTGGATCGCCTTCAACACCGGGAAGGGGCACAAACTCTTCTCCCCGAACCTCGGACCCAGACGCCTCGTTTCAGTGCCCACGATGCACCTTCCTCAACCACCCCTCACTTCTCTCCTGCGAGATATGCGGCGCCCCCTTGATATCCCATGACCTCCCCGCCGAATTCAGTCAGCAGACGAGAACAGAGACCGATTCCCCAGGGCCGTTTCTCAGCACGCCGCTGAGCGCAGCCGCTCATAGCTTGGACAGCCCTGAATGTGTAAAGGTGTCATTTCGCGGCGGAGGAGAGAAAATCTTTTACGAGCGACTCAAGGGATGCATGACACAGCGAAAATGGCTTCTCCAGGGCGCACCGCCTATTCCCAGGTCCTCGCGCACGGAATCTCTTGGGGGTAATGGAGCCGGGTCGGGGACGGATGCTGGTACCGGGAGTCCAGTCGAGCGGGTCAAGGTTGCTGGTATCGCCGGTCTCGAGCGCCGCGGCCAAGCCATGCGCAAAAACAACGAGCTGGTGATTGGGAGTGCGTTCGAAGACCTGGAAGCGCTGATGGCTTCGGCCAAAGATATTGTCGCGCTTGCCGAGCGGTTTGCTCGTCAGGTGCAACCTGGAGGAGCCGGGGGAAGTGCTAGCGAGACTGCGCTGCTCGCGGAGTCAGCCAGCCAATTGGGGTTGATCACAACCAAGGACATTGTTGGTACCAGCGGTGGTGGCGACTCGCTCTACCTGTCAGAACTGGCCCGCAACCTCGCAGAGTTCCTCACCGACGACCGGCGTGGTGTGCTCAAGCGGGCTGGCGGCATCATGTCTCTTGTGGACCTCTGGGCTGTCTTCAATCGTGCAAGAGGCGGCGTGGAGCTGGTCAGTCCTGCCGATTTTGAGAAAGCGGCGAACCTTTGGGAGAAGTTGGGGCTACCAGTGCGGCTCCGCACCTTCAAGTCGGGGGTCAAAGTTGTCCAAGGCAAGGATCGCACTGACGAAACTACCATCCGGGCCCTCCTCGCTTGGTTGAAGGACCTCCATGAGTTCCCACCAGACCGCGAGGTGGAATGGGATTGGCACGAGTTTGGCCGCGGTGTGACAGCGAGGGACGTCGCGGAAAGGTTTGGGTGGAGCATTGGCGTGGCAGAGGAAGAGTTGGAGATGGCAGAAGAGAAGGGTGTTCTCTGCCGGGAGGAGGGCATTGAGGGCTTGAAGTTCTGGGAGAACTTCATCGACACTGGCGAGGGTAAACTGAGGCCCAACGAGGCCAAGGAATCTCATGACAGAATCATGAAGGCGCTGAAAGAAGGGGGCTTTGTGTGATAGGTCTGCGGAGTTGGGGGCAGTTAGATATAGAGTTGCATAGCTCGAGCCCGCGCAATACTGATTCCTCATTCCAGGATTTAATAATGATATCGGCCCGTTATGTTCATGCACATTACCCTAATCTATATTCTATCAGAGGGGTGAGATGTCCGTCTATAGCTACAGCCCGTGGGCGTGCCCGACGCATATTAACGCCATCCGAATCCGACAAGAGTCACACTGATATCACACCCGAACGCCAACTTTTCCTGCACGATCCTCCCATACAGCAACGACGCTCGCTTCGAAACACACCTATCATGGGTCACATTCACAACTCCTCATCGTTCAACTCAGCTCAACCCCCCCATCAACCTCCCCCTGACCTTCAAATTCACCACGCCGCCCACCCCAAACGCAGGCACAATCCTACATATCCTCGCCGCCGTGCTCACCGCCCAATTCCTCCCCACCTGCTTCCACCTCTCCCGCCACCCGGGCCCTCCCGCTCTCCTGTCAAACGGCCGATTGTAGATATCCAGCCCCAGCAGGTGCACCGGCGTACTAACCAGCTGCACCGCGGCTGGAGCCGCAAACTGCGCGAGCGTCGCTCCGGACGCGTACCGTTGGACTTTTTCAGACAGATGCGCCGTCAGCACGGGCCCCAGGCTGTGCGGCACGTTGAAGGACGCGAAGATGGTCATGCAGTCGCGCGCTGCGAAGAGGAGGTACGTCGGCAGCGCGACGGGGCGCGGGGGACCGGAGCCGGGCGGCCCGAAGAGGCGCGCGAAGACTTGGTCTTTGTAGATGCAGAGGGAGATGTTGGCGGCGGAGGAGGCGGCGAACTTGGAGGTGCCTGAGGTGACGGTGGTGGCGGGGCGGTTGTGCACCGTCGAGGAGAGGGTGTCGAGGGTGTTTGCCGTGAGGTAGGTGCCGCCGTAGAGCGCGAAGATGAGGGCGAAGGGCTTGGAGAGGATGGTGTGGTGTGGGCGCAGGAGGAGGGAGGTGAAGGAGGCGCGGAGGGAGGCGGAGATGGTGCGCCGGCCGGAGGCGTTTTCCATGATGGAGCTGTGGGGAAGGGAAGTTAGTTTGGTTCGGGGGTTGCGGGGGCGGGGAGCGTGGGGACGGTACCGGTCGATGATGGAGATGATGGGGGCGACGAGCACGGCGGCGGAGGCTGCGCTGACCATGTCGGCTCCGAGGCGCCAGGAGAGGTTTTTGGTGTTCCATTTTTGCGTGTTCTCCATGGCTGCGAGGGCTGGAGCTTTGGCGGCCTCGAGATTGAGTTTGGGGGGCGCTCGTGGAGCTTCCAGCCCGTTGGCTCCACCGTCCTTCATCTCGGGGTCGCACGCGTGCTGCGGCGCGGAGGTTGGTGAGGATGTGTTTTGGTGTCGTTGCGCTGAGAGTCGCAAAGGGGACGATCGCGGCTCCGTTTCGGAGCGCCAGCGCCAAGCACAAAAATACAGGCCGGCAGAGGATTGCGGAATGGCTGGATGCCCAGTCTTAGGGCCTAGCGTTACTGGCCGGGGCCAGCTAGCGAGTTCATTGCAAGCACTTTGTCATTGTAGATTTTGGTAATTGTCCGTTGCGTTGTTTACGTTGATCATGGCCAGCTCCTTTACCTCTGTTGAGCTGATAAGGTAGCTTGGAGATCAGCTTGAGGCAGCTTGAGCTGGGGTAGCATTCTCCAAATTACAGGCTGATTGGCGGTCCGAAATCGGAGATAGGGATATCTCCCCTGGGTGTGATTGAAGTGATGAGGTTCGCATTCCACAAACGACGTCCTTGGAGACTGGGCAAAGGGGCGTCTTTGGGTGTACACATCACTAACATGCACCACAGCGATGTTTCGGGCCTCCTCTTTACCAGAAGTCAAGTCCTCCCGTCGAGATCGCGCGAAGGTTGTGTGGAGCCGACCCCTGTCTACGGTAGATCGCCGCGCGCCGTCCCGAGTCAGTGCAACCCTCACGGCGTCACATAAAAACACCCAAACTGGACGAGTTGGAAGAATTGCCGAAGTCGTCTACTCGGGTTTGGATCGTCTTCTACTAGATTGAAAGATTGACACTTTCCCATCGCGAAATTGTATTGGTGTACCTGTGCGATGGGGATGGCCTCAACCCCAAAACCCGTTCCGTCGATCTCACAAACAGAATGCCCATCATTCGTACAAGCCAAACCCGTGCCAGGCAGATGTGCGCTGGAGTGCCCAGAAGCCAGAGAGAACAGCCAAAAAAAGACAGGACGGGAGATGATGTCTCCTCAAGATCTCCCTCGGTAAGGATCGAACTTACAGCCTCCAGATGCCGCTCTGCTCCATTTCTAGATGATGTAGATGATGGTAACGTAACAGTCTGACGCGCTATCCAATTGCGCCACGAGGGATATTGCTTGTTGCTCGTTGATGAGGTGGTTGGGTTTGGTCGACATCAAGGGGTTGCATGTGTGCGTAGGCGGAGGGGGCTAGGTGGGCCCGGTGGGTTCAGGGCCAAGCCTCGGTCCGAGAGCTCCCAACCTAATGATGCCGATGTACCATCACCCTTCACAATCTGACCAGTGGGAGAAGAGCTGGTTCGTTCCGTTCGGGCACCGCGCGAAACTGGACCTCGCCCCCATCTTGTAAGACTTGAATGCCCAAGACGTCTCTGTCCTGATCCCCAGCGTGTTGATGTCATGGGAAAGCGCTTCGAATATATCTGAAAAAGTCTTTTGCAGTCCCTTGAGAGCTTCGGTCAACAATAGAGGCATTTCATCACAGATCCCTCAAAGTGTGCCACCCCTCGCCGTAATCCACAACTTGGCTTCGTCGATGCCAAGAACGGCGGAAAAGAGAATTCGCGGAAAGGCGTCTATGTCGTCGGGATGGGCGTGGTCGAGAACTTCTGAAAAACTGCATGTTCTGGTCAGCACATGTTTTTCTACCGTTGCCGGTCCCGGAACCGTACTCTCCGTTTTTGACGATCAAGTGGCGCTTGGAATTCCACGCTGCAGCAAAATCGACAAAGTCTTTGGCACCCCAGAGGTGTGCAGACGCTGTGAAAGAGTGAAACAGGCCCAATTTGCCGTCACATGATCCTTTGGGGTCGACGCAATCGCCCTTGGTGATCTTGTACACTCTGAGAAAGAAGAAAATCATCAAGAATGTCCGGCGAGCCGACTCCTGAAACACCCAACTCTCCCAAAAAGAGCGCATGGCGGGGGGCGGGATGTTTTGCATGGGAAGCTCAGGGCCTGGGGCAGCTGGAAGGGTCACGTCTGGACCTCCCATATCGTCAAAGGTGCCCTCGGAAAAGGTCGTGAACGTCATGAGCGAAAACGCCGCCTCTTCCAGCGGACGCATCCCCCGCTCGGCTCCGGCACGCAGACTGATATCGCCGTCGAAGAAGCGGATGATCTGGTATAGGAGGAGAGCATGCGCCCTGGCGAGAGTCTCGAGCGGGGTGGTCGGGAGAGGGGCAGAGACAAGCTCCTCTGCTCTCGATTGGATCACACGCAAGATGATAAGACTGTTAGCCGGCGATTTGTTGATGTAGAGGGCGCAGAATGCTTGGGCATCTTGAAGGTGTTGATGTCAGTTGAACATTCGTTGCTGGCAGGGGAAGATCGAGGACTTTGAAAAGGGAACATGAGCTAGCTGGGTTGATGAGAAAAGCGAAGGGAAATGTGGTACGGTACCCTGAATGGATCTTGGCATCTCCCGTTGGTACAGTTGAGGGTGGCTCCAAGGGGTCGAGCATTCGAATACCATCTGGTTGACAGCGAAGCTTGTCCTGTCGAGTGCGTACTGCAGTCGGATCTTCATGGCATAGGCAACCGCGTCTGATATCTCGGTGAAAGGACGGGTCGCAGACAAGACATCGAGCACCTCGCTGGTGCCAGTGCTGGTTGGCGGCACTGCAGTTGGTAGCTCGACGAAGCGAGGGCCGGGAGTGTCCACACTCCCGCTGGGTCCTGTAGCTCCCTCCGTCGAGCCAACGGATGGCGTCCATGGAATCGTGTAAGCGAACTCGTGCGGCGGCACGAATACCCGGGGTGTTGCGGTTGGCGTGATCTGGCTGCCAGAGTCGCTGTCGGCATGGACCACATGCACAGTGTGCGTGGTGCTAGGCGTGGGCGTAACAAGCTCCTGGGGTGATTCGTGATCCAAAGACGGCTTGGTGATGCGGCCACCAGCGTACTTGCATTCCAATCTCCGCTGGCGACACCTCTGGCAGGACGGGGAGTCTTGGCTGCACCGTCTCTTCGCTTTGATGCAGGCAGCGCAAGATTTCTTGCGCGGTGGGGGGTCGACCCGTTCCACGGCGGACCAAGATGGCGGCATTCCGACAGCTGTGTTGCAGGGTATCTATCGTCTCGTTGGTTGGCGTCTGTCTGGATGTGAGAGCCTTAGGGCAACGCCGGCGAGGGTGAAGCAATGATGCGACGGCTCAAGGTACCTGGGCAGTCCTGCAGTTGCTTCTAGCCTGTAGCTTATCCAATAAACAGCCAAGCGGAAAGCGCACAATCAAACAAGCCATGTGAGAGCTTCATGTTGAAGACGAGAGTCGTCGAGAACCATACGCGGAAATGTGGGCGGAAGGATCGAGAGGGCGGAATTCCGCCCGCGATACGGAACAGGCAGGCGCACAGTGCGTGTCTGCACCCACACCGTTGCCCCTGGACTGGTACAGAGGATGCCGACAGATTTCATAATTCCACCTTTTCGGAAGCCAAACACGACCCGCCTATCCTGAACATCATTTAGCGGAAGGCTTGTCAAATTCGCCATTTCTTTTTCACGTACGGATCCGTACGCGCGAGGCATATTATCCGCACTCCAAGCTCAGCATGGGAAATCATTGCAATCAATGTCCCCGAGGAAGAAGATACACCAAGTATAAAACTTCAACGAAATCCATCATCTGCTGTCTAGAAGCGGACCAGACTGCAACTGGTTTTCTTCTGCCCAGCATCGGTAGGTATTTGGTGTGAGAAACTCAGGCACTCAAGCACCATGGCGTGCCCGATCGTGTTCGTCACCCCCGCGCCCGCCCTACCCACTGGTTCAGCTGCACCACCACCCGCGATCGCAGTTCCCCTTCCGCAACCCTCTTCTCCTAGCTCAGAGATCCCTGCTAGCCATACGGGAGCTGGTGAGATTTGTGGAGTTGAAAGATGTTGGGTTGGCAGTGGAGTTGAGCACGTTGAGCGAGCTTTGAAGCAGAATGGAGATGTGGTGAAACAGGCATATGAGCGCAGAGGAGGTTGACTTTGAAGCAAGCGAGTGGAACGTTTGTGAGTGACAGATTCTCGTTTTTACCGACCATGTCACTGCCTTGTTTGATCCGACTCGGAGTTATACTAACTGTAATGACAGGTATAGGCTCATCAGCCACTGAGCACAGGGCCAACAATTCAAACTGCCTGTAACGACTGGTTCTGGCTCAACAGCCCCGCGCGATGCCTCGTCAGTTGAGTCCTAATCTAGAGCACGCCGATGGCATTTCCAACAAACTCGGGAAACTCCAGACACTGGCCAGCATGAGTATTGTACCCGTGCGAGCCACAGGTTGGGCAGCCGCAGTCATTCCGGGTATAGATAGTGACGACGTTTGGACCGCCGAACTGGTTTTCGTACTTTTTCAGGATTTTGACCGAAGAGAAGCCTGGGTTGGTGGGCGCGCAGGTGCCAATGTGGACGCGGCGCCCCCAGGACTCACCCTCGCAGTGGCGTCCCGAGAACAGGAGAAGCTCGAGGCCGGCCCTCTCCTGGCGGGCCTCGAGCACGGCTGTCGCATTGGTCTGGCGTTGCTCAATGACGGGCTGCGGAACAGCCGAGGTGAAGCTGAGGGACGCAAGGAGCGTGAGGGTCGTGGCGGCGAGATGCATTTTGGTTTGTGGGGATATTGAAAGATGGGTATGAGATGGGTAATTGCTCAAGCTTTGTGCTTTGCCTGGGTCGGGGTGATGGTTAGGATTCGAAATGGTTCTGAGAGTGGACATGGCACTTCTGGCTTTATACTTGGTGAGACTCTATGGCCATACTCCATCTGTTGCTCACGCTGTTCCCCTGAGAAAGCCTCGTTGACAATAGTTTCCTGTCCGACTGCTATGGCTGGATCTCAAGTCATGATGAATCATAAGGGCACAGGCTCACCACCAACACTTCCCTTCGTCTACGCCGGACCTGTGCCGCAGACAACTCGACGAGGTTTCAATGGACAATCTGCCGATCAACGGTTGAAGGGATGCCAACAGTTACACAATTCTTACACAGCCTTCAGAGGAAGGTTACACGGCCCGGGGCACACTGAGCAACGGGAACACCACTAGTCGGGTTTCGAACTAATAATGAAGGGGGTATTGATGAGGCACGTATCTGGGCTGGGGTTGGATTAGGGCCAGGAGGTGGAGGTACGGATTTGACGGACTTATTTCGACACTCAATGCATTCCCTGCAGAGGCAAGATCGGCGACGAATGGGGGAAATCAACGAGCATGAATACGAGCATGAATGTGTTGTCTTGGGCCCCTTTGCAATTAGGCAACGGCTTTCTTGTCCTGTGATGGCGCTCTCACATGTTGAAGGGGGGGGGGAACTTGGTGGCGGATTCGACGGCTACGTTGATTCTTTGATGGGAACTGACACGCCAACAATGGAAGCCTTCCGGGAATGTTAACAGGGCCCCGAATAAGCCAGACAATGCCTTGTGGGACGAAACTTTCCTCTTTTACAATGTCACACATTTCCTTTTCAATGCAATATAGGCCTCTTTTGACCAGACATAATCCATGCACTATTTCATTTCAAGAAGCCCTGTGAAAGTTTGCACGATGCGTACGTGACTCCGTTTCCAGGCGTGATTCCATTCACAACTACCCTGCTGGCTATGCTTGCCCATGGTTATCAAAATCAACCAAGCGCCCCCAAGCTGACTCAATCGAGCTCCATCTGCGTCATCCAGAGGCCAGTTCCATACCAACCCCGGGCGTCCTCCGGAACAAAATCGGCAGGACACGTGGCGCAGCCGGGCAACGCCTCCATGAAGTCAAAGAAGGGATCGCTAAGACTTGTCCCATGTTAACTTTCATCCTCACAAAACACACACAGTCAGAATCACTCACTTGTTCCTCGTCTCCCTCAAAGTCCGCCGTCTCAACGCCCCCTCCTCACCACCACCGCTCTGCACATCGCACAGCACGATATCCCGGATCATCAACTTGAGCGCCATGCGCCACAGCTCCCAGTTCTCCTTGAGAAACTTCATCTTCTCCTTGATTCTGCGCTTGCGCTCCTTAAGCTTGGCCTGGTACTGGTACTGCTGCTCGGCCAGCGACATGCGACGCATGCCCGTGATGGGGACGCCCCCAGGCGAAGGTGACTGTGACTGCTCGGCCGCCATCTC